TCACAAAAAACAAACATCTGTTGAGTACCTTCCACATAGTGTACTACAAATATATGTGATTATGTGTGTCATTATATATACATATACATGTATATATAATTTTACATATACATATATATGTATATCTAATTTTATTTAAAATTTGTGCACCCTTGAAAACATGCAGCATTACTCACTTTTATAGTTGAAGGAAACTTGAGGTTCATAAAATTAAGATAAGAGCTTAAACTGGCAAATGTGAGACAATAGATTCTAAATCTGCCTTATTCAAAAGCTTATATTCTTTCTATTTGTCATAGCTACTTCAATATACTCAGCAAACTTGATAGTTGAGGGGAAGAGTCTGTCTGTATTTATTAATCATTTATCAGTCTAGAATTCCCCTTTTATAGGTAGGCTGAATACAGAGAGATTAACTGAGTCTTAGACTCATCCATTGATAGAGGCAAACCTCTCCTATATTGTAGGATAGCCATAAAGAATTCAAATGATTAAGCATTCAGACTGTTTTCATTGCTTGTATGGGACCAGGATTGGAAGGAAATTTTCTTATGCTAAAAAACTATTCAACAAACTCATTTTGGATTTTGTCTTCCATTAACGATTTTCCTTGACATTTAAAAATATAGTAAATACAGAATAGAATATATATAAATATTTTTTCCATTTCTATGAGTTCATTTTACAATAGTAATATTTAATAAGAGATACTATTTACTGGGAAAGTATACATGAAATAGTTTACATACATTAATACTAACCAAAGTGTTTGTATGTTCACAACTTATGATTGCCTTCCTTCTCTGTCATATTAGGGCACTGAAATTTATTCCTTTGTACTCTTCATTTCTGTGCAACATCAGTTTTCCTTTGTATTCTTAAAAACAATATTTTAGAAATATTGATTCATCAATATATCTTCTGCAAATAAGCTGATATTTGGGACAATCCATTACATTGTCATTGAATCACCCCCCCCACCTCCACAACTGGCAGATAGAAATGAATACTGACTAGGAAATTTAGATTGTGAAATATTTGATAACAAATGAAAAGTTACTTTTTAAAGCATTCTATTTTAGTTCACCTACTTATGCATCTTCATATATGTCACAAAACAAATTTCCTATAAAAATTTTCAAAGCATACTATTACTAAAAGAACAACAAATGTGGCTAAAATACATAACTGATGTTTTATGTATAGCAAAATATAGATGTGTATAACAAACACCTTAAAATCAATTAAGGTTTTATTACTAAATAACAGTTTTGTAAGGAATTGTTCCACTTCCTTTCCTGACAATTACAAGTTGCACTTTTCCATTGACCTGTTCACATTTTCCATGAAATATTATCAGAGACACTGCAATTATTAGAAAATTCTTTCTGATGCTTCATGAATACTATTGGGGCCCCTGAAACATTACTGGAAATCTCTACAGTAGGCTCCAGTCTCCTGCCCAGTGTACGATGCAGGCCTGAGACGGGGGGAATGGCAGAACTAAGACAGAAAACAGAGGGCAGGAAAACCATTGCTGGTGCAATTGACAAAGGCACTGGCCAGGCCAAGCCACTGATTTTTTAAAATTAATTTTATTGGTACATTTTAGGTATACAAAATAATGACATTCATCATTGGAAATTTGTACCTTTACATAATCTATCTTTGTTCTTATATTTTTTCCCCATTCCCCTGCCCTCCCTTCAACCACTCCACCCCTCCCTATTTACAAAGACTTTGTTTCCATTTTTTCATATTAATTCCACTGAGTTTTTAATGGTAATCAATCGGGGTAAAGACGAGCTATGTGCTCACCTACATGCAAAGGCGTGCAATTGCGCAGTTTCTATGGAAATTAATGTAAGGAAGACTCATAAAGGACAAGACAAAGCATTCTCGAATTAGGAGCAGAATATACAAAATATGTGGTTGTAATTAGAACATTGTCCTTCTAGAAAGAAGGTTTCAATTGTGGGAATGGAATTTGAGTGTGAGTTACTCTGACCTTGGCAAATTGGCTTCAGCTGGACTCACTTCCCAAATCACAGTTGTGGAGTTAAATCTTTACAGCCTGCACTGCTTACAGCCTGCTTGTGCATAATCAATATTGCAGTCTCCGACATCTACTATCGCAGTGGAATTTCTCTCATTATTTTAAATTAATCATAGTTGCCACACTCTAAATATTTTTAAAAGCAGGGCTTTTTAAAGGGCTGCTAACATACAAAATTCTTATGCATCAGCTAATACATATGAAAGTTTTTCTTTAATTTTTTGCCATTTCCAAAATGATTAATGATTAAAATTTAATTTTTCACTATTAAAATTTAGAGAATTTCCCACTGTATTCTTATTATATATAGTACCCCAGGTGCACATATAGATATTAAGGAGGTTTTCTTTCAGCGGGTGAGGAGAAATTGTCAGCTCTTAAACAAAAATCATTGATGCTCTTCTCTGTAAAACAGAGCTCTTCCTATTGGATCTGAGCCAAGGTCTATGTAAAACGTCCTGTAAGTTACAGAGTGAGACATATCATTCTGAGAGGCTGAACTCAGGACCTCTTTTAATATATGTTGCTTTTTATTAGGACAGGGATTTCAATGCTTGTGTCAAGATGAAACTCTCAGTGTCTCCCTTGAATATTTTTCATTATTGTGTGACAGATTATGTGAAAGTGTATGAATGAAATGGGATTTTATTTAAAGTGACACTATGAATCCACTCTCATCAGATCCATCAATTTTAATTCACTTATGTCTGCTTTGCTCTGTTCAGTTTGTGTCATTTATTTCAATTGCTTCCTATTCTACCAACATGCTTTTCAATTAGTTGGGTGGGGCAATAGCAAGAGTGACATGATCAGATTGAACTATGCTCTGCTGAGTCAGCTTCCATAGGTTTTCTGTACAGTTAAATAGGCTCTACATCCTCAGTTTGAAACCAGAATTTATTAATAGGTTGACAAAAAGGCTCTACTCAAAAATTAATAGAGTCTGTTGAAATACATGAATTTAATACAATTCAGTTGATAATTGATAGAATATACCAGTTCACAAGTGGTCAAAACACACCATTCAATTTCCATCTGCTGATAAATCTAGCATAAATTTATAAGGAATATCCATCATCCCTCTGGAAGTAAGCATTAGATCTGAAACCCTCTCACCCTCCAAATGCTGTGCTGTATTCAGATGCCTTTCTTTGATTGTCAAATGCACCATAAATAACCTGTTTCTAACAATGGAAAATTCAACAAAGGTGCACAGATTTAATTTATTTCTACTACTCACAGATTTCTAAGAAGGAAAGTTAATGTGGAGTTTGTTTTCAGATGTATCATGACTAAGAGTGAAGGGCAAAATACTTTAGGCACAAGATGTATATATTTGTAGATAGGCTACAGATTGCTATTTTACTTTTATTTTTTATAAATAACTTATTGTGAGATCATTCCTTTTGCAACAAGCAGAATTATGATGGAAAAATCTGTCTTAAATCTTTTTAATGTTCACATGTAGAAATATTCTAGTTTATGTGAAATTCACTTTTGTTTCATAGTTTGAGGTTTCCATGTAGATACAGTCCATCCCTTTCTGTCTCCATTCTCTATCTATCTATCTATCTATCTATCTATCTATCTATCTATCTATGAAGAAAATATAAGGCTGCTTTTCCCTACAAAGATAAGTATATCTGGGATGTGTAGAGCCTTCAATCAAAATGACACATTGGCATGTTCATTTCAATGAATGGAATATATGTAAAATTTTAAATTTTCTCCAAGGAGCTGCCAGAATTTGGATGTAGCTAGTAGAAAATAAAATGAAACCTACTTGTAAAACATTTAACCTTCTATTTTCCCATTGAATGGCTCTGAAACACAGATTTAGTAACATTTCTTCCCTTACCCTAATTTTCTTTCTTTCTTTCTTTCTTTCTTTCTTTCTTTCTTTCTTTCTTTCTTTCTTTCTTTCTTTCTTTCTTTGGTACTGGGGATCAAACTCGGGTCCTTGCACATGCGCAGAAGGCGGCAAAACCACTGAGCTAAATCCCCAGCCCTACCCTAATTTTCAAGAAACTGAAAATATAACTGAAAAGTCTGTAGAAGATAATGTCCAAAATTTTTGATCATTTAACCTGACAAATTAGAGGATAGGTATGTGACAACTTTGAAATTGGGTATGACATTGTCAAAATTTTATGAACGAATAGAAAATAGGAATGTCACTCTTTATGCAAAATGAATTCCCCTCTTCAGTTGACTCTAAAACACACATCATAAGTAATATATTTAATTAGTACACGGTGGATTTAATTCGACCACAGTCTGGTTGTGTTCACTTGATCATGAATATGAAACATATGCCCATCATGTGCTTTAAAGTATTAATTTTAAAAGACTATTATTAAATGAAAACAATGTTCAATTTTACTTAAATATGTATAATTGATTATTGGTGATTTTTGTTGATCATATAATATATGAATATCCTAAGAAAATAACATAAAAGCTGTCCTCCTTCAGGAGATCCTCTACACTGGTGGGGTTCACTCTACATCTCTCTGCCCATGGTTTCCTGCTTATTTAACTGAATTGCTGCCTTCAAACTGAAAAACACCAAGAAAGATATGAAACAGGAGGCAACATCAGAGTATTATTTCTCTTGCTACATTCAGCAATAGTACAACATCTCTGTGTAAAGCTCTGATCATACCAAATGAAAAATCATATAAAAACAAAATATTTTACCATTTTTCACTTCAATAATTCCAAGACATCTAAAGCAGTAATGTTTTCTGCCATAATCAAGGAGTTTTCGCTTCAAATATAAAACAAATACTCAATTTGTATATATAAGATTCCAAGCTTCAACCACACAGATGCAGCTCAATAAATGAGGAGCTATTTAATAGACCCAAAAGAGCTTTATGCTTGTGATTCCCTTCAACAGTATTACCAATTGACAGGAGGTTTAACAAAAGAAGAAGTGTACCTGCTTTCTGAAACAGGGTCCAAATTGTCCTCTTGCAAAAGGAACTGGTTTCTTTACAGTAGTCCTTTTGCAGTAGTCATGCAAAAATGATGTTTTGTAGATCTTGAATGACATTAAATAGCAATCTATTAAGAACACCTGTCAATACAAGATATATACAATTATGATTAAAATTATTCTGATTTCAATATTCTTTCTTTAACTAAAACCACTTCCTCTTATCAAACATTTTATAATCATGCTTTTATTAAGTTATACATGAAATCACTGTTTTTGTTCATAAAATAATGATTTGATATATTTAATTGCTGCTGTTCAGATTATTTTCCTTTATTTTTATTTAATAATGAAACACAGAAGAATAACACTAAATTTTCATGCTGAATCATAGCTGAAAATATTTAACAATGAACTCACACCAGCACTTCCAGCTTTTCATGGTTTTTATAAATATTTTATAATAATTTATCCTAAACAGAATTTGTGGTCTTATTTTTATTAATTTTATGTAAGGAATTTAAAGTACCTCTTCTTTCTTAAAAGTTTATGAGTCATTCATATCTTAAAATATGTTGAGAAAGTTATTTGTGCATTTTTTGTTATTGTTGACCTACAGGGACTGCACATGTGTGAGGCCAACTCTACTCCATTTTCATGAATTTATTGTGTAATGAAATTCTGCATTCAATGACATTTATATTTCTGTACAATTTACCATTTTATAGATTTATGAATGTGCCGGCATGACAGAAAGAGCATAACTCTCCATACATAAAGCATATTTGTAATGACTAAACTGGAAGTCAGATCCTGGAACATTAAATTAGTCACTTCAGAATGACTAAAGTCCATTAACTGAGATTCCATTTTAAGATGCATCAAGGGAAACCTAAGGCGTATATTTAATGATGTTTGATAAAAATATTTAAGTTGCTAGTAGTCTCCATTAAATGTCATTGAACTTTTTAATTCATATTTACTTCTGTTGGAATCATGAGAAATTGCCTTATTCATTGGAAAAAGTGGTATACAATCAGCAATTTCATGAGTCAACATAGATTTTCTTTATTCACACTTGTATTTCTGAAATAAATTCTAAATTTAATTATCATTGTAGTATACAAATTCACTTTTTAGATATAATACAAAAAGCTAATCATTTTTATGCTTCACTCTACAAGTACAAAATTCTGTGAGAAAAGACATAAAGTATTCTAAAATCACTTCAAAAGAAACTTAGCTCTTGTGTTCTTAACAAATGAAACTGTCATTATCTTTTGATGAATTATGATGATTTCATATTTCTTTTTCTCTTCCTCCCTTTTTCCTTCCTTCCTTCCTTTGCCTTTTCACTTTTTCTTTCTTTTCTTAACACTGAGATGATAATAAACTTCTACTCTGTGTCTTAGCACACAACATTTAGAAAGAAATCAAAAGCATGATTGTTTTTGAGGTGTACAACTTTGGGAGACAAGGAATTATTTAATCATTAAAAGCTTTGTTTTAGTACTTGAGGAGCTATGTTTCTTCCAGTTTCAGGTATCAATAGAAAGAGTTGTTTATAAGTCACAATTTTGTGTTCTCGTTGTTGCCATAACTTTTAAGAATTACACAATATTCACTTTCCCTTCCTACTTTTGGGAAGTATTGAAAAACAAAATGAGGGAATTATATAAAGAGCTTACAATATGCCCAGCGTGTGATGATTATTGCCATGGTTTTCAAATTCTCTCAAGTTTGTTTCTCAGAAGGAAACTTTTTTCAGTCTTATGTTCTTTATAAGCTCATGTCTGCTTTTAAGAAATATACTGCAGCATAGAGGCTACTCCACCTGGAGTTATATACTGATTTCTTCATATTTCAACCACAGATTTACTATTAGATATTAAGAAAGTCATTTGTAATTTCCTGGGATAGTGATTTCAGATCCTCTGACTACTTAGAATATTATAATAAATGTCTTAAGAAACTGAGTTGCTGTATCTCAAGTCACATTTTATGAAGAATTATGACCTTTAGCAGGCTTTTTTCTATTTCTTTAAAACACAATTTCAATTTAACTCTAATAAGTTACCCTAGATTATTACTCAAGAAGAAGGCAAGATGTCCCATTATTCAGAAACTTGAATCAGTCCATTTTGGTCAACATGAATTTATTTTGTATGATTTTGTTGTAATTTTTAAACATCATATGTGGATTTCCATACAACATACAGACAAAAGACAGCTTTAAACTTGTCCTAAAAGTTTTAAAAGTTTTAATTTTAAAGGTTTCAAATTTTTACAATTATCTGATAATTTTATTCTCTTTTTTACATTCCTAAATTTCCTTCATGTGAGCCATCCTGTTTGTAGTACTCTGCTAAAATGGCCCTAATACAATGGAGGACAAGGAAACCCAGAGAATAGACATGTGAACTTTGTATAAGCTTGGGCACTGATTCACTAGAGAAAAAGCACGAACTAAATAAGTACACAGAATAAATTGGTCAACTAACTAAAACTAGGCTTAGTTATCTAGCATTCTAGTAAAAGCACACTGATTCATTAAGAGTGTGGCCAAGCTGGCGGGCACAGAACATATGCATGATTTTGAACACATGGGCATTAACTCAAGTAAGGGTGACCCAACTTTCACCCCTGTGGAAAATCCAACTTGCTAGTAAACTAGGACTACACTGAGATCACTCACTGCTTTTAATCAATCAGATAAAATTCTACAAAGACTTCAACCAGCCACTTGGTGAAATGTGGATTACATTGTTATCCTTCAACCCTGAGAGGAGAAGGGATTTCTTTTGAGTAGAATCAAAATGTATCTTAGACATGGATTTTACCTTGTCCACAGCTTTTCAGCTAAAACTGCTGTTCAAGAAATTGCTAGCAGTGAATTTTATACTTTGCATAAGACCAATGTCTACATCTAACAAGAAAGGAGATAAATTAGTGAATATTTGATTACGGGATATCACTTAGCATACCACCCAGAATCTGAATGAGGTTATTAACAACTTTTAAGTACACTAGTTATTTTAAAACAATATTAGATACACCTTTATCTATTTTTCATAAATATATATATATATATATATATATATATATATATTGCTGTATTAATGCTTATATATATATGGAATTGGCTTATGTAACTATGGAAGCTGAGGTGTTCCAAGATCTTCAGACAGCCAATTGAAGGCCCAAGAGAGCTGATATTGTAGTTTTAATCTGAAGACTAGCAACTTCAAGATACAGAGAGACAATTTAAGTTGCAGTTCAAGATGAAGTCAGGAAAAAGCAATTTCCCAGTTTCAGTTCTGTCAGGCAGGAGGAATTCATCCCTTCTTACTGACAGGTGAATCAACCTTTTTGTTCTAGGCAGATATTCCACCTTCAACTGATTGGATTGGCCGCCCAAAAGAGAGATCTCAATCTGCTTTACACAGTCAACTGATTAACATGTTAATCACATGTAGTAATTCCCTGGCAGACACATCAGAAGAGTGGCTGACCAGGGCCGAGAATTTAGCTCAGTGGTTTCACTGCCTGCTGGGCAAGCACAAGGACCTGAGTTTGATCCCCAGTACCAAAAAAAAACAAAAGAAGAAGAAGCGTGGCTGACCAAATATCTGGGCATCCAGTGGCACTGTCAAGTTTACACATGAAATTAACGACTGTACTTTCTTAATGCTACATCCTTCAACTGTTATCCAAATTCACTCTTTCACAACTCAAGCATAATCCAGCATGTCGAACTCCAAAAGTGTAAACTATGTTTGCTTCTCTTCATGATCCACCTTAATGATGTCACAATAATGATCTCATACTCAAGGGTTTGCTTTCAGTCTCTCTGAATGATTTCAACATCTGGCCAGCCATATAATCCACAAATATTAAAGCCATTTCTGGCCCCTCATTTTTCCTCATCTTGGAATTTAATACTTTTCTCAATTACATCCATTTAATCTCTATGTATATCTCAAATGTTTCTTTTCTATTTCCAAAATCTTTTTTTGTTTTAACAGGCATCTTTTCTGCATTTGCCATTGAATTTGTCATCATGGATTTCACTCTTGGCTCACTTCAAAATTTTCTTTGCACTATTGACAGAACGGTGGCTCAAATGGCAAATAAGAAACATATTTGGGTGGATATGAGTGCTTTAGTATTTAGATGTTTCTGTACTTCATAAATATGGATCCAACTAATTGACTTTAACAATACATATATATATTTTCTTGAGCCTCCATTGTAGTATGTCCAGTATCAGGAATTCAAACGTAAACAAAATAAGAATATTGGCCAAATGCTTTGTATTGTTCAGTAAGAGTAACACCGTTGAACAGCAAATTCCAATATTGTGTTATAACTGATATAACAGGGGTCAGTGTAGGAATGTGAAATCACAGGGACACTCTCCAGTCCATTACCAAGCACTCAAGGAAGGTGACTTCTAAGCAAAAAAAAAAAAAAAAAAAAAAAAAAATAAATAAATAAATAAACCATGGATGGTCATTTTGAGGCCCTGGGAAATGAGCTGAGTCATGTGGTTAGAAATATTATTTGATGCATATGGAAAGTTTTCTAAATTATTTTAAGAATTTAAAATTATAAAATCACAATTATAAGAATTTAAAACAAAAACCAATGATAACATTCGTATCCATACTTATAACCATAATATATCATAGGTTACCATATACTTTCAAATACATTGGTTCATTTAAGCTTCAAATCAGTGTTACTAATATCAAGAAATTTTTCAGATAATCTATAGTATACAAGTTACAAAATGTGTAAATGTTAGAATCCAGAAGAGCATAATCCAATCCACTTTTCCTATGAACAGGGTATAAAAATCTTTCATTTCTAAATGGACTTCACTGATCTATCAGTGGATATAAGATTTCTCAAATATTCAATTAATGTCACATGCTCTTATCTTTTGAAGGATATTTTGAGGCTAACTGTTAAATGTTGATTATATTGCAGTTACTCATTCATGATGTGCAGTCAATTTTTAATGACACCAGGTGGATCATCCTAATTTGAGATTAAATACATCCCACTGACATGATTTCTTCTCTACCCTGCTGCCACCTGTCTGGTTCCAAACCTGCTCAACTGTGGAAACTGACAGCTGGTTCTTCAGAGGGGAGTGATGGGAGCAGGAGTCATGTGAAAATGGCTCATTAGCAATGAAATGGAAAAAAATCTGAGACTTCCCTCTGGACCTTTTGATGTATCCCCCTCTTCATTTGTCCAATGGAGAATTATCAAAAATGCATTTAATTCTCAAATGTTTCTGAAATTCCTATAATACCATCATATTTAATCAGTTTGTTTATTATTTCTCCATTTGAGGTTTTCATTTTGGCAGATATCATGACATAAGCTCTGAAAAACTTCTCTGATGTGGCTTTCTGAGCATGCTCAGGATAATGCATTAGAAAGGACCCCTGAATTGGGAATTGGCATACTAAACTCTACTAATCCACTAGCTACATGACATTGGAGAGTTACCTTAACTCTTCTGGATTTAAAATTCTCATGAAGAAAACATCATGTAATGGTTACAGTAACTGAATTGTGCTTAATCATAGATTTTTTCTCCTTTTTCTGTTTCCTGTGGTTTTATTTACAGTTATTAATATAATACACATTTCTTTCAAATACTTTTCTACATTTGTGGGCTCTTATACTATTTAAAGACCTTTTCATTTCACATGCAGAATGTTAGAAATATCAATAAAAACAAAGTTTTAAAAATTTCTAGTGTACAACATTTCTAATATATTTTCCAGAAAAATGCAAACAAAGGAAGACTAGTTATCATGAAATTAAAAACAGAGTTTTTGCATGAATTATCATTTGCTATAAAGTATTAGTGATTAAAACATTTGTAGGAAGTTTTCTCATAGGAAGTTAGTTGTTATAGAATATCTCCTGAGAATTCTTATGGAAAATTAATTATATTTAACTGAAGAAATTTTCTCATTTCTAAGACAAAAAAATGGTAGCAATACCACAATGATGCTTATATATATTTAAAAGCTACCAGTGCAGAGTGGCTCTCTGATACTAAGTAGTATTAATTCTTCCTGGGTTCTCTAGATAATGTCTAATTTCTAGGAACACACTGATACATCAAGAATAGCCCTGAAAACATAAAAAGCAACTGAAAAGGTGTCCAAAAATAAACTTTTCTAAAGTTGCTGTCACCCTTTTACCCTCTGACTTCTTTCTCACATGTGAACACTTGTCTTCTGACCTTTCTCATTTCCTGGTAAACCAAAGCTCTGTCATTAGTTGCAGCTCCTAGAAGTCATACTGCTATTTCTGTCACTATTAGTTAATACCATTCAAATTTAAGATAATTACATTTTTTTCTTCTATAGTCCTTTTTGGCTTCCTCAGTTAGCAGGGTCAAAAGGGCTGCCAGAAGCAAAGAACTGAGCACAGAATTGGTTGTTCATTTCACAAAACCATGAACTCCCAGAACAACCTCATTACTGCCATATATTACACATTCACCACATGTGTCTTGCATCTCAAAAAACTTTTATCTTCCCTAAACCCTATAGCATGGATCAAAACTCCTTTTCAGACACCACCACAAAATACTTTCAGAAAGGCAGTCACTTAAGTCAGTTTGCTCGACTCTGTTCTCTGCGAACCTGAGAATCTGTGAGAACAGCTAAAGCTACAAACAGTATTTCAAGAATACGTTCCACCACTGGCACAGCTGTTAGCACTTCTGGTGTCAGGGAACAAATGTCAGGAAGGTACTGCCAGTGAACTGACACCCATGAAAAGCACGCTGGCGGCCTGGCTGGGTGCCAGAGCCCATCATCATTTTGTTACCCAGTCCTGGGAGCTGGACTTCTATTATCACTACCCTCTCTTACGGCTGTTAATTGAAGCAGGGCGATTTTCTTCACATCAAGGAAATGAAAGGGTATTTTGGGACTCTGTTAAAAAGCGTAATTTCAAAAGTGAAAACTAATTGAGGTGCTTAGAATACTGTGGTTCAACTTTCTGAAATTCACAGAAGGAAATGGCTGGAATTAAAATTCATTCCCTGAACCCAAACCACAAATTCATTTGTCCTTGAGAGTAGAATATATTTGAAAACCTTTTTCAATGTGTGAGATGTGCAACACCTAAATTTTTATTTTCATAACTCTGAGGTCTCAAAAGAGAAAATTGCTGACTACATAGTACAAATAATTTATCAATGAAATTTTTTTAAGTTGTTAGGAAATTCAAAACTATTTTTTAACTCTAGAAAATGTCATTATATCTTTCCTTTTTCAAAAACTCTCTGATTTGATATTGGTACAGTGCTATAACAACCAAGAGACAGGAAAAAAGATGTCTTTCTCTAGGGATGGGACTCTAGGGATATGAATATTGACAAACTGCCTGCCATCATCAACTGCTTTATCATTTGTAGCTGCCATTAGCTTGGATCTTGGATATAGTAATTTACTCAACAGTTTCTCAGTATCTACAGAAGGATGTGCCTGGCCTTGGAGAGGGAGAGGGGGAGGGAAAGGAAAGGGGAGAGGAAGAAGGGAACATGGAAAGAGGGGAGGAGGCAAGGAGGGGAAGAGGAAGAGGAAGAGGAAGAAGGTTCCCTTTATTATCCAATTAAAAGAAATGGGCTTCGCTTTTCTGTGTTCTTTTTCCAAATGTACCTATGCATATTCCGAATCTACTTCTCTACCATTTGCATCATTTTATCAAGAGTGTTATTGCTAAGGGTACGCGTGGCCTTCTAATGAGAAGAAATAACATAGGAAACAAATTACTAGCTTGCAGTGTATGCTCAATAAGTGCAGTCCCTTCTGACTTCTAATTATTAAAACCAGTGGCCCAATTCCCGCATTTATCTTCTGAGCCTCTAAGTATTTAATCAATACACCCATAGGTAGACCTTACATCTCTCTTAACACCATTATTTTCATACCACACCATAACTTTTTCCAGTTTTTTTTAATGTGACAGGTTTTCCCATAGCTTCTTCAGCAACAAAGGCAAAATAAAACATAATGCATCTAATTCCTTCCTTGACACACACCTATATTTTTATCTCAATTATTCTTCTCTAATTAATTGCTATGTTCTGAAATTATGAGTCAGATATAGTTGCCAATTCTGCATTTTCTTTTCCATCTCCAATACTAAATTTTACCCTGGTACTATTTCACTCAGTCCATGAGAATGTTTTCCTGAAAGTTTTACCTATCCTTGTTTCTCTGATAACTTCAAGTTGCCTTGTCCTTTGAACCACTACATACTTACAGTTTCCTTCCAAAAAATCCACAGCGCCACACTTATGAACAAGTGTTTGTAGTCTTCTCTTTGCCAGTATGTGTAAACTGTTTCGCTTAAGCTATTTAAAGTCTTTATTTCCAAATTTATTATTGGATAGTCCTTTGTGGTCACTGATTAACTTACCTTTTTTATTTCATGATTTAGTGAAAATGTCCAACATTTTCTGCAACTTTTATTACCTTGCTACTCAAAGTGTGGTATGCAGAACTGCATCATTGTTGCCCAGGAGCTGGTTGGAAACACAGAAATCTTAGTCCCATCCTGGAGCTAATGAATCAGAATCCATAACTTCACAAAACCCCACTGGAAATTATACAAAAAATTTAAGTTTACCCTTTCCTTGGAGCCATTTTCTCATGTCCATACAGTAACCTTTGCATTATGGATATTTTAATTTATTCTGTCACTCTTGCCAATGCCCTTCTTCTTTTTCCTCTTGTTAATTTATTTCTTCCTCCTCCTCCCTTTTCCTTTTTCTCTCTTCCTTTCTCATCCATTAATTAACAGCCATAATAGGAATTAGAGTTATTGTTTTGATGCATTCCTCTGGCTGTGCATCAATACCTTGATCAAATATTTCCTTTCAAGCTGGTGGTTCATTTGCTCCCAAAAAGGATGCATTTTCTTCTTTGCTCAGACAATAAAAATGCTCATAACAAATATAAAGAAAAGATGAGGAGATAGAAATACAAATTACTCTAATTTAATCAGTACATGTTGTAAAGTGCATTGAAGTATCACACTGTACCCCATAAATATGTACATTTAATATATGCTAATTAAAAATAAAAATTTCCCTTATATAATAAATGTAAAATTAGACTTTATAAATATAGTCACTACTAAACAAATTAAAGCAGTTATTTGGAATAAGACCCTACATGTCTAATTGTCCATGATATGCCATACATATATACACGAAATGGACAAAATAGCACTTTAAAATACTTCATGTGGTAGAAAATGAGATGTACCTTTTCTATTAGATTGTATCTGAGTTATCATGAGATAATTTGAGAAGAATGATGGTGGATTGCAAATGTAGTGAGTTGTTTATTTTGTACACAATCTACTTGGATTGTGGTGAAAATTAGTTTTACTAATTAGATTAATAATTGTTCAGAAATTCATGAGTGTCAATTTTTTAAATATATTCTGCCACCATAATCTATGCATGTATTTAAAACTGGCATTTCTCAATTTGTCAAATATTTGTTGACTATCTGGATATGAAAGATTTTTGTACATGGTCAAATAAATCTTTATCCCACATATTTTGAACACTTCTTGGACTAATCTGGATTCAAATCTACTTTCTGAGTTCTGTTTCCAGATATGTTAGAGGCAGATTGTCCTCAATATTCACCTTCATTTGGAGATCAGCACATTGTCAATCTAGATTGTCTTCTTAAGGATGAACTTCCTAATTGAGTCAACAAAGATCAGATATGACAAAAGCTTAAGCATTATAAAACAAAGGCATATATTGGCAAACAGCGTTTATTCTTACACTTGTAAATTAGTAGAATAAATATTTGCTTTCATATTATTTCAATACAGGCATAGATTAAAAGAATTAAAATAATTTCATTTAAAAATTTATAAGTATAAAATGTAAAATTACTGAATATGAACTTTGTGCAACTCAGTCTTGTTTGTAAAGGAGACAATTTTTCTTTAAAATATACATTTTGAGACAAGGTAATATTATAGTTTATATACAGAAACTTTGTTCTGTTGTAAATTTAATTTACCAAGCAGGAAGGATGCCCATGAGAGCCCAAATAAATCATTCTGTCCTCTCTCAATAGTTGAGAGTTTTCCAGCTGCTTCAATGTTAACACCTTCTTAGCACATTTTTAGGTGCCTATAGAAGTCTTGAGAATAGAATAAATTACTGAAAGGGTATGTGTATCTTAGATATTAAAAAGTCAAATGAAAAATGAATTAATAAGCCCACCATTATAACAAAAAAAAGTGAAGATCTGTGTGAAACTACAAATAATTCAAGGTAAAAATGGGTCACAATGATTTACATATTTCAAGACAATTTTCTTTTACTCCTGAATCATGACCTACATTTGTTAAATCATTTGGCAGGTGTGACCTTAGCTAGTGATTTTTGAAATTTATTTGGTTTATATTTGATTGCTATTTAATGAACTTATCTTAGAAAATACAGCAGTGCTAAGAAAAGAAATCTGGAAACCTATGATAATATGACATGATACCAGAGAGAAAGGCTAATCCATCCATAGAAAATTAATTGTGATGAAATTCAAAGCAGTTCTACATATTCTATTTTTACCTTTTACTTCTGAACTCTTTCTACCAAACACGTCTTTTTTTTTGTCCAACCTATTACTACAGTAACAATTTTCATTAAAATCTTATTTCCTTCTCTTTCTAATAAAAGATATACAATCACATTTTTGTTTCCAACTGCTTTTGGTCACTTAATTGCTTTGGGATCTGCACTAAAACATTCCTTTTTTCCCTTCTTGTTTTTTCACAGAGAACTTGTTTGAGAATAAAATAGCATTGGCTCATACTTACTGAATTCTTAATAATTATTGCATAATTGACATCACTGTTTCTGTCTGCATACATATGTGTATATATGTGTGTATGTGCATTTATAAATTTTGAAATATAATTTCAATACACTAAATGGGACACATTTGAAAAGTTTTGAGTTTAAATTTGGAGTTTTCCTATACGTATACACCCATAAGGCAATCACCTCAATCAATATCCATACAAATTGAGATGCAGAAAATGAGTATAGTTTTTAGTTATTCCTTAGGATATACTCTGGGCTTACCATACAGTTGTGATGCTACCAATAATCCTAATATGTCCACTTCACTGAATTCAGAAACGCCTAGTCTAAGAGTAGAGCACACCCTGGGCATGCCTGGGTGGGTCGTGGAGACACGGCTTTCATAACAGCTGGCCTCTGGTTTGTTCCTCTCTGGAGCTCATACTCTGATCTGTATCCATGCTGCCATGAACTAAGTGTCTTGACTCTGCCGCTTCAACCTTGATGACTCTGACTTGGAGCCTTCTGATTACAGACTAAATTTCCCCCAAACATAGGTCAAATTCAATCTCTCCTTCTTCAAATTGTGAGTGTCAGGTATTGTGTCTCTGTCACAGGAAAGGTGGATACCAAACAGGGATCTGTTGCACAAAAATTGAAGCTGGGGCTCCTAAACCTGTGATAGAACTGGGTCTTTAATAAAGAGGACTTATGTAAGACTATACCACATATTATAGTAAACTAATTTTTAGCTTAGATAATGTCTGGGCTGCAAAACACAAGGAAAGACTATGGAAGTTTCTAAGACATGTGCTGGGAGGCTAAGAGCAAGCATGAACCAGAGATCTCCCACTGTTGGAGAGGTATCAGCACTCTTGCTCAGAATGGAGATATTTTAATGGATACTTATGCTTTAGCAAATACCACCCTCAAAAGACATGCAACAGGGCCAGGGATTTAGCTCAATGGTTCCACCGCCTGCCTCGCAGGTGCAAGGTCCCAAGTTCGATCTGGTACCAAAAAACAAAACAAAACAAAAAAAACCATAAAAAACAAAACAAAATAAAAATACAGTCTCAATTAAAAAAACCTAACAGCAGTCCTTTTCAGCATCAAAGTGCCTACCAGAACAACGTGCAAACTTTTTAGACCAAAAATGTATAACCCAGAGTCTCCACATATATATATATGTATATATATCATATATACATATATGCGTATATATATATCACAACATGAATAGGATATAAAAACAAAAACTCAAAATCTAACATCCTAGATATTTAAACAAGCAGAAGTGATTGATAAAATTAATAAAATGCTAAATATGCAAATGCAAAAAATGATGCAGATATTGTAAGCAGAAAATAATTTCAAAATAATTAGCACTAGCATGTTAAGGAAAAAAATATAGAAAGTAGATGAACAATATAATGTATTCAAGATTGAATCTATAGTTCAGATTGGAAAAATACAATTTCTGGAAATAATAACACAAAGCACAGATGTGACCACAGACTCCACACAGCCAAAGATAATATTATTGAACTTGAAGAGAAGCCAACAAGTATGCAACCTGAACATGCAAAGAAAAGACATAAATGAGAGGAACAGAAAATAATTGAGGTCATGTCACATTGGCCAAAGCCCTAACCTAAGCATTAGCAAGAATTTCAGGAGGAGGAGAGTACTCAAAACAAAATCTATATTTGAAGATGTAATGACAGAATATTTTTCTGACTGCTTAAAATTATTTGTATTTCCACTTGGGGAATTATTACTTGTGTTCCTGTTCTCTTTTTCTCTTGGTACTTTAACACTTTATTTCTCATTTATAAAGTTTTATACTTTCTAAAAGTTCTACATTTTATTATTTTTAGTACCCCACACCTTATAAATCAATTCTAAAACATAAATAAGACCCTTTCACATTTTAATACAATTTCAGACCCTCAATTTTTATGCATTAAACTCAAACTCAATATGCTTTGTGAAAACTTCCCTAAATATTCCTAATAAAGTTAGTAACTTCTTACCTTTAAAGAGCACTTGTACTATATTTATAACAAATATGATGTGATTTTGTTTATTGGTCAATTTCTTCTGTATTAAGATGAGCTATTCAACAGCACTTTACTCACAAATTCTCTGTAAATCATTCTCAAATTGATAGAAGAAGAAAGGAGGTATGCAATGAAAAATTAAGCGTGAGGTTATGATTTACAGTATGTACTGAAAGGAAACAGAAAGGAAACAAAGGCTGCAGAGTATAGTTTCAATATTCTCCATTATCCTGGCAGTAAATTAGCTTTTCATTTGAATGTTACTTTCTTTGAGAAGAGTTTGATGTGTTTTAAGTTGATGCAGCAGTGCATGTTATTAAAGCCAGGAATCATAAATTATTACTTAAATCATTGAGTCTTGGGAAAATAGAAAGCCAATGAATCACATGCCATTTGAATATTGATTTACTTTCCCTGTAAGCCTATGCTGGTTTTTGTGTATGTGTTTGGCTCCAGCAAGTCTGCATGCTTTCTAATTTCTTGAAAACTGTGTGAAAATATTTCCAGGGCCCTCTTGTAAAATATGACAGCCTGACATTTTCTTTAATTATAAGACCTGATCTGTTTAATAACACAAAATTGGCCTCCAATCTGACAGGCCTCTCCTTTAAAATCAATGGTTAGACTCTAGGGCACCAGCTTGGTCATCAAGATCAATATCTGACAAAAACATAGCTTGTCAAGACCTCTCAGTCTTTTATTGATTCAAATGGGAAGCAGCTTACAGATTGAATAATGATATAAGAGTTCTGATCCAACAAACAGAACCTTCTTACATTAAATTCAGTATAAGCAGATGAATCTGTGATAAATGATACAAGCATAAAATAGTTATCCAAGAGACCATAGGTGAAAGAAGCTCATTGTTTTCAGGGGAAAGTAAATGTACATATTTATTTTCGCATATACATTTTGGGCTGTTCAGCATGTGAAGAAAATGTCAGTATCTTATGATCGTCTTATGAAAAACAAGACACCAAACGTCCTTTTGCAGACAATGAAGTAGGAAAATCACTATGAAAAGAAAATTTCTCCTGAATAACTTATTAACAATACGATTAAAGCTAGGCACGGTGGCTCATGCCTGTAATCCCAGCACTCAGGAGGCTGAGGCAGGAGGATTGCTGCAAGTTTGAGGCCAGCCTGGGCTGCATAGTGAGTTCAGGATCAGTCTGAACTACATAGGCTGACCTTGCCTCATAAAACAAACAAACAAAATAATACGATTAAGTTTTAGAAAGAAAAATTAAAAATAAGTTGTATAGAGGAGAGATGGATGGGAAAGGGGATGAAAAAAGGAATTGAAATGTCTTATGTACCTGTACCCACTCCACACAAGCAATGTGAATACCAGGTACTACGAGTGTGTACTCATACAATAAAATAAGAAAACAACTGATCCTCTGTTTTAGTGCTGGATCATTACATTGTTACTCTGATAAATAAACCAGCATAGGCCTTGATATCAAATCTGACATATAAAGAACCAGAGTGATATATCTCAGTATTTTCTAACTCTCAGTAACAAAAGGATGAGTCAATGATAATTTCTTCCATTTTCATTAGTAATTGAAATGACTATGCATAGATATCTCATTTTCACTTCTAATTTGAATGCTAAAAGAAAGTAGAAATGTAAATCGCACCAGTTGGGAAGGGAGCCATGAGTCTATTTCATCAGACCGCAAACACACACATACACACACACACACACACACACACAAATCATTAGGAACAAGAATTTATACTTCTCTCAAAAACTGAAATATTTTATATGTAGCACTGCTAACAAGAAAGGTTAAAAATGTTAAGATGGTTTGTTTT